CCAGTGGTGACAAAGGTTCGTTGTCGATCTCAAAGTAAAACAGAATCTAGTTCTGTAAATTTTCAATCAAGATTCTTCGATCTCGATGTTTCTGTTCTGTTTTGGAAAAATCAACTTAGATTAGTCGAGGAAACAGAACCTAGTTGTGTCGAGTTGAGATTGGTGATGTCGAAACCCTAATTTTTGGGTGCCCTGTGCATTCGAATAGTTTGCATAAATTGGTGAAAGGAGATGTCGTATTGGTTTTTGGACACTGTTTGTTTCTATGTTTGAAGCTCTGAGCCATAGTTTTAGGATGGAAGTAGACATTACATTGTTACTGTCTACTATGTGGAATGTTCTATGTTGGTTGGTTCTGCTTGCACAATGGGTTTAGATGCTATTAGACTGATTGGATTCTGATGGAGATGTTATGTGAGATACATTAGCATTTAGATTATTTCAAGGATTGATCTTGATTTGATAAAAGCCTTGTGCCTCAACATTGTTCTGCATTTGTAAACTTGTGAAGGAATTTTGAATTGAATATGGATCATCCTTGTTGTTTCAGGAAACTACTGTGGTTTGTAGCAACAATCTCAGTATGTAATTCTGTCGGATCTGACTGAGTTTAACCGCTGTGTGTTTTGGTTGATTTGTTCTTAATTCTTCGACTATGAAGTATCAAGCAATTCCTGATTTCTTGGACCCGACTTTTTTTTTTCGTGGTAGGATCAAAGCAATGGCGAGCAAATCTGGAAGCAGTGGCCTTAGAGAACCGCCGAATGAGCAAGCTGTTCTTAACATCTATGAAGCCATGAGATCAGAGCTAAGCCAAATCTACTCCAACATAACCGAACTCGAGATGCAAGTGAGCGAACATTCTCTGGTCATCAACGCTATTCAGCCTCTCGATCAATCAAGGAAATGCTGTCGCATGATAGGAGGCGTTGTTGTCGAGAGAACCATCAAAGAGGTACTCCCAGCTGTCCAACGCAACAAGGAAGGGCTTGAAGAGGTTGTGAAGAACCAATACGAGAAACTGGAGAAGAAAAAGAAAGATCTTACAGAGTTTGAAGCCAAGTATAAGATCAGGCTAAGGAAGCAGGACGAGTCCAAGGAAGATAGTACCAAAAAGGAAGGTAATGCTCAAGGTGTTCTTGTTGGAACTGCCAGTTCGAGCCAATAAAACTCTTTTCTTTTATATCTGTTGTATCTTCTTTTTTTGGTTATTTGGTAAAGCCGTGACCTTCTTCTGGAAAACACTCTTTATGTTTTGAATGTTACGAAATCAGTAGACTGGATAATTGCCATTTATAGATCAGTCTGTGTTATGAATCTTATGAATTTGTCGTCATCTTCATTCTTGAAGCAATCAGCTAAAGAAAGGCAACCTAAAAGTCTCCATTTTTTTCCCATGCTAATATTTGTCTTTTAGCTTTTGAACAAGAGGACAACGACACCAAAACAAAACCTATATGGTTTTACATTACAAGTTCTCTAATTTGTGAGACAGACAAAACAACAACTGAAGCTTCTTAACAACGATCTTCCTCTCGCCGGATTTATCATATATCGGCTTTCTCGTTAAGCCTAGCGGCGGCGGTAACAGAAGCCGCCACACCACCAGGATGAGTAGACAAGTTAGGGTTGTTCCTCAGCTCAGCACTCACCACTCCCTCTGCGTCCTGCCTCGTCGCAGCTTTATCCGCTGATAACTTCCCTGTCGCACCCTAATCATCCATCCGGTTCAAAAACATTCAGACACTGTTTCACACAAAGAAAAACATCATAAATTTTGAAATGCTTTCAAAATAAGGACATAACCGCCAAAACATCAACGAGCTTGATTTTATCCTCGTCACGCTCTATAGTAGCGTTGTGATTGGCTGCTGATTGAGCTGAAGCAGCGACTCCACCAGGAGCAATAACATTGGTGCCAGAAGCTCTAACCTCTGCCGCCTGAATCGCTGCTGCATCGCTCTGATCCACCGGTTTGTTTCCAGCGGTTTGCACAGTTGCTTCCAATGCTTCTCCAATCGTTATCGCACTTTGCAACTTCAATCCAATCGCTTCTGCCTCCGTTGCCACCGCAGTGGTCACTGGCCTCGGTTCAACATATTGTCCAACGACCTATACTTAATAAACAATCTCTACCGTTATAACAAATAAAATTTGATTATAAAAAAAGATATAAATTTTGGAAACGTTTTGTGACCTGTCCACCGACGAATTCTGTTGTGACACGTGCACCGGGGACGTCGGTTTGTGCCACCGTGACGCCACGTTCTGTGGCAAGGTCAGTTGTGTCACCCGGGTGGACGAAACCGCCGCGTTTGTTGGCTGTGGCTGCAGACTGCATGACTGCGGCCGTACCGCCTTTTTGAGTGTGTCCGAAGACACGTGTCTCCGCGGCTTGCATCATTTTTGCATCCTCAGGAGCTATGGGCTTATCGGCGAGTTCACCAGAAACTTCAAAAACGTCACCGTATGTGACTGGCTCTTGTGGCCTACTTGGTTGCTCTTGTTGTTGGCTCATCTCTTCTCTTCTTGTGTTACAAACTCACAGCTTACAAGTTACCACAACTCCTAGAGATATTGGAGTATAAAGAGAAGTACACGAGGTGTGGGACCAACATTATGAGATTCTGACACTTGTCAAGGAATGACAACGTGACAAGGACACACGTGTCAGTTTCCCAAGTTTGTAGCATGATGAGACATCTGAATGAATCAGACCGATTGAGATAGGATTTGTCATTGTAATTTATGAATTAAAAGCCATAATCCTCATACAATAAAATTTGTGGGCAATTACCACATGTGTAGGATAACATCGGACACGTTTCAATTTTAGACAACATAAAACAACAAGAAAAAGGTTGGAACAGAAGTCTTATGTCTCAAGTCAAAAAACAAATCTTTGTCGGAAACTCCCCTAACTCCTCGGA